GCCCAAAATAATCCAGCCGCTGAGGATTACAGTATCGTAGGCTCGGGCTGGAAATTGGGAACAGTCTTATCCCATGATTAACGTACAGCTTCATGATGCATTTTATTAAATATATCCTAGGCTATACTTGCGTGAATATTGATTTTAAGTTCAAGTTAAATAAAGCAATTTTGGGGTAAAAAGGATAAAAAGTCATTCTCCGTAGTGGAGGTGGCTAATGGAAGATATTTATCGTCGCGAGGCGGATAGGTAAATGTCTACCTCTGGCCACAAACACTGAGATGAAATGTTTGTTTTAGTATATACTAAACAAATGAGATGGTATAGCACGAAAAGATAATTTAACTAATTTATTCCTACAACAATTAAAAAATCCTTGGGCGCAAATCCCACGCGAATTGGTCGGAAGTAAATAGCAAAGGATACTCGGAGTTTGAGCAGCCAATCAGAGCACGTCTTCAACGCTAACCACTGCTAACATTCATAATTAGAGGCTATCTCTTACAAAGGAATAAATCTTACCGCCAGCACTACGAAGACTTGCTAGTTTATTAGACGTTGCCTCTAAATTTTGAATGTCAAAATTGTATCCTCCGATAGCATTGTCCAGGTCGATAACTTTGGCTATGAGGTCAATCCTTGCTGCACCAGAAATAAAGAAGCTTTCCATCTCCCTTTTAAATGCCCCCGATGCCTCGTTTAACATGCATCCAAGGTCCGCTATAAGACCTTCCTTGTTTATTTCTAGATTGGCCTTGGAAAACAGTATGGAACGAAATAGAATATGAGAACCATTTGAATGCTTGCTTATATCAGTGTGAAAATTCGAGGAAAGTTTTCAATTTTTGACCACTCTTTATTTCATTTGGAAAAATAATTCGGGATGAAAAATAACTGGAAAATTGCCTTGACGCAGATAAACCGAAAACTCATGCCTGTTAAAGTAAACAAACCCCAAGAGTTTACTTTGTAGTTGAAATTTGATCGAGTCGTTACGTATCTCAAGCAGGGTCTCGTGTAGGATTTACCCCTTCATCATGACTGAAATTTGAAACAACAACTTTATTGCATAAATCTAAGATGGCTAGAAAGCTCTTGCAACTAATTGTGATCATTTTAGAAGACATATGATAGTTTACCTTCATGATTTCTGGTACAGCTTCTACATCCAATTGGGTAAAATCCAATTCACTTGAATCTTGAAGAGCAGCATAATTCTTACCAAATGTCAGCCATTTTAAGAGTTTGTCTTTGTTTTCCTGGAGTGTCCCGGTGTTGCATTGCGTTGCAAAATTCCCGAGAACTCTGAAAGTGATGGAAGCAACCGTGAGGGGATCACTTATTGTACCTGCAGCAACAATCCCTGCGAGTCCTTGGAGTACAACTAAGAGGTCTCGCTTTGTGAACTCTGCATCTGCATCTCCATCAGGCAGCTCATTGGATAGAGCTGTAAGAGAGCCATTCATGTTAAGCTCCAGTTGGGTGATAGCCTAATCCAGCAAAAATAAAACAAAATAAAATTAGATGACCAGCTAAAAAATTTATAGAAACATTTTAAATGGTTCTAACTTATGATCTGTTGGAGGAAAGACGCATAGATGACGAAACCATCAGCAGCATATTGCCTTTTTCTATGTAAATCAAATAGAATCGATGTTGCAGTGGGTCTGTACAGTAAAGAATCGCAGAAGACAGCCGTGTGTGGTACTTTTTTGTTCTTGCTACATTTTTACGTCACCTGTGATCTATCACTGATAAGACGACCGCAACATGGAATCTATTCAGATTAGATAAGATGGGATGAACAAATAAAATAAACATACAGTCTCCAGCAACAGGGAGAACAACAATGCAGGAAAAAAACACGCAAGAGAGGATTTCGTAATATTCGGAACTGAAATTAATGTATTAGGTTAATCTTGGCTTCTTTAGAAAGTTTATCAAATAAACTAGCTAAGTACTCAATTTAGACGGAAAAAAGTTTCATGGTTTAAGGAACTCTATTATATAAACTGTACACGTGTAAAATTTGAATAATTTTCTTTGTGCGATTTATATCGTCAATCAGCTGCTGACACGTCAGTCGCCTTTCGTGCCACCCGGTCAGGTCGAGAAATGAATGACAGAGTTCACCATTCTCAATCCAAGGTCATCTTGTCAGGAAAGGCCTATGGTGTTTATATAATAAACAAAATAATACATGGTTGCTTATAGATATGGAATTTCTCTTTTCGTGTTCCAAACGTTATCTATCTTGTTCGCTTTGCTTATTTCTCAAAACCAAATATTATTTTGCCTACATTAAAGAAAATGGTCATGATATTACCAGATATGTACAGGTCCATGACGTAACAATACAGGACATTTGCTACGTACTTGGACGTAAACGTTTTTTTCGTCCATTGCTGTTTTTTTCGCATCTTGAAGTCTGGATTTTTGACTGTCGACCTGAATCCTCGCTGCTGTAGAAATAGTTTGTGCTATTTGGTTTATCCCAGCATTTTGTTGAATCGATGTCTGAATTCCATTGTAAGCACTCTCGTAGTCCCTAGCGTTGTCTCTCAGTGTTGTCAGCTGTGTCTTGAATGTCTCCCATTTAATAAGAGGAGCAAACAATTCATTATTTCCAAATCTGTCATATCCTGCAGCGTCTAGGAATGTCAACCTTCGTTGTGCATCTAATTTAAGAAGAAGCAGGGCACATGCATTAGTTTCAGGCTTAGGGGGTATTGTTTAAAATATTTTGAAAGACGCTGATGAAATTCCCACCCTAAAGTGTAAAGAGTAACAAAAGAAGCATGGGCCTCTGTTCTAGTTTTTTTTTAATTCGATTTAATTTGAAAAACAATAACATGAAATTAAATAATATTGTTTACCATAATGTCATAAACAAGAAAAATGAGCCGAAATTACCGTGGAACTTTACCATAAAAACAGGGTAATCGACGTATGCAAGGATGCCAGACACATTTCTTTTAAAGAGGCGGGATCAGGGTTAAAGTGCCTGATCATGAAAACCATGCCATTTGATTATTGTTACACAATTAAATCATAAACTTTTCCATTAGTATTAACAAGAAGATCAATAAATAACTAATATGAAAAGAGAATCCCTGGAACGGCAGAATTGACAAATCACATGTAACCTACCTATGTAATAGCAGCAATATGTATGTAAAGACTTTGTGTTAGCAATACATTTGGCTGCTGTCCATAATTATGTTTTTGCATTGAATGACTACGCTTTGATAGTTATACTCACGTTTTTTCAGTTCCGATGAGTCTGGTCTTCCGTCTGTAACGTTGACTAAAAAGGTCAAGACTGCTTTGGCGTCTGCTGTCTTGTTTGCCCAGACAAGGTCTTCAGCGTATCTCGTTATCACCTTTAGCAGTGGCAATGGATACATATCTTTTTGGCTGCGACTGAGCTCTGATTTTTGAAGGTAGGAGTTTGCTACCTCACCATTAGTACCAGGCATCACCAAAGCTATGGTATGATAAAAGAGAATGTTATGTATTTCAAACTAATCGAGATCGAACCACAACTTAAAGAATTACCCAAAACTATAAATAAGTAAGCCTGAAAGCTATAGCATACTCAATCAGTCGATGAGCGAGCGAGCGAGTGAGTGAGTGAGTGAGTCTTTTAAACATTTAGTCAGTCAGGAAGCCGGAAACTCAGTCATTCGATCCGTCAATAAACAAGGCAATCAGTCAGTCGCTCGGTAAGTAAAATGGACATTCATTGATGAAATATTCATTCATTCATATACATGCAGTCAGTCAGTCGTCGGTGTAAGCTATACCTTACTCCCGTCCAAGAAGTGTTGCCACACTATCCTAAGAGCAGTTGGCTAACAACAAGATATTCTTTTCTTTTCTTTTATTCTATTGTCTCCTTAGAACAGTTGAGTTGCAACAGGGTTTCAGTAATAGCTTAGAGAGTATTATACTTTTGACACAGTTGAAGAATTAAACCCACTTAACCTGGTCCGTCAGGTCCTTTATCGCCAGGAGGCCCGCGCGCCGCCCGTGGTAAGGTACTACGCTCGTAACAGTGTCCGGTACACACAGTGGACCAACAGACTCGGTGATAATAACATCTAATCCCACGGCCTCCACGTCCTCCTTGACCTCCTGTTGAAAAGAAAATCAAATTTAGGAGATGATCCGCGTGAGTGAGTTTCAATGAACAAAAAAAGTGCAGAAAAGAAGCATAGCCGGAAAATTCAGTCTTGGAAAATATTCGAACCCATGCCTCTCACATGTAACTCAGCTGAGCCATACGTTGGATGTCAGGTACGTTTTAGAGGATTATTCGCTTCCGTAAGGGAATCTTATCGCAATTAAATCAAATGAATTTCACTTTGATCTGCAGATGATAAATTACTAAAGATATGGTCCCTGTAAGTGAGCTACAATGAAGACATGGAGAGGAATCCTGAGAAAGTCTAAGCTTCGGCCGGAATCGAAACTGGGTTTTTTTGCGTACTAGTTGCGCTGAGTTACGAAGCCACATGTTGGCAGCGCGGCTTGTACATAATATCTACAAGTCAAATCATTTTTGTTTCCTTTATCATTAGTTTTTTTCTTCATCACCAGCTGTAAAAGAAAATCGCCAAAAAGGGATTGATTTTTAGGTATCATAACAACACAAAGTATTCAATGCTCTTTTTCCTCACTCACGGGAGATGGCTGAGATATCACAAGTTTTCCGCTTAATACAGGATCTACAGTTAATAAATATGAAATTAATGTAATTAAACCTCGCTAAATAAAACACTACTACTAACAATTTTGGGAGATAATCAAAGGTTAAATTTTACTTGAAAAATTATTCTTAGGTGTGATTGAATAAGTGAACGTTTCATAAAGGTGTAGGACTGAACAAACAGGCCGTTGAGACTCAGAAAAGTGGAACCACGACTGCTTAACAGAGGCGAAAATTACACCAATTAAGGGGGTAAATTTTCGGAACTTTGAAAACCAACCGCTGAACAGATTCGACTGTATAACTTTCAAGCCATTCAGCTGATCAAGTTTTCGCTGAAAATGTTCAAATCCTGAAAGAAAGTGTCGAGAAGAGTAAAATAAAATAGATACGAGCAGATATTTTGCAATTTGTGTTGTATTTTGTGAGGGTGAGAAAAGCACGAGCAATGAGAGAATGTGCCCTCATATTATACTTTAAATCATCGAAAAAGGGATTAATTTAGATCTGAACTATTGATTCACTTTCCAGTATGTTGGCTTTTAGTTGTCGTCAAAGATGAAACGATCAGAAACGAAATATATTAGTGTCCTTTGGGTCAAACAGAAATATCTGTTTCCCTTAAAAGTTGGTCGTATATGAAAGTCTGAATCGTTTATTGCAACCATTTTGTTGGTCCCTTTCTGTCCTTTTTGCCTTGTTCTATTCTGTAATGCTATCACATATTTAGAGCGTAACGTCCTGGTAATATGGTAGAATGGTTTAATAGTGGAATTATAGGAAAGTATCAAATTTTGTAACAGTTATTGAATACCCCTTCGCAAGGGAATGGTGACAAGGTTGAGGGAGACTCCTAAAAGATAGCTGACTCAAACTCTAACAGACGGTAGCTCGACCGCCGACTGTTCGAACTTGGAGGAAATATTGAGAAATTAAGCATTCTCTTTTCCGCCTTAGGATACCGGGTAGTATATATTTTTATACGTAGCGTTTGAGTATTATATTATTTACCGGGGGGATATCAATTGAAAGCAAACATTAATCAAATGGACGTGACACCACTGAATATAATCCTCTTACCCGGTCCTCCCCTTCCATTAGCAGCTACTGGGCCTCCTGTTCCACGACATGTCTTAAGATTCATCTTCCCCCGCAGGCTTCTGATGTTGATTGTTTGATGCCCTGCATCTCCACCATTTCCTACCGAGAACGTAAGGAAAACGAAGGCCTAAGTTATAAAAGCGACTGCTTGGATTCTAAGTAATCTTCTAACAAATTAAAACAGGAAAAAAATGGTTTATCCTAAAATTGCTCATCATCTGCTTTTCGGTCAAGAAAAAAAAATTAGTGATCTGAGGCTCAGTTGATGTACCAACAACCCAAAGGAAAGGGGTATATCGTGTATAGAGATTTGTTTATCAGTCAATAACCTGCATTCCCAGCATATCCTCCAGGATATCCTCGCATTCCTTTTCGACCTCGTATCCCGGGAATTCTTGATGTACATGCAGTTATTACACCTTGACTGTTTCTTGTGGCGTACTGGTCACCTTCACAATCGTCCGCCTGATTCCTGTTGCGTTGCTGGGTCGAGAGAAAAGGATTTTGGAGCAATAATTGACCAAAATGAAAAAAACGATGTGATAGATAAGAAAATAAATGCGAAAAATACTTTCATCAACTTCGAAAACTTTTAGTCTTTTTTTAAGGGTTTACAGAACTTACATACTATCTTTCTGAGTGAAATTTGAAAATGATCCTTTACCATTATCCAAATCTTTTTCCTATATCTATACAAACAACAGCCTCCGTTTGGCGCGAAAATACGCCAGGTAATTTGTCCACTGACGGTAATTATCTGTTACGACATGAGAACAGCTTTCTTGGAGCGAAGCTTGAAAAAAACGAAAAAAGATAAGGTCCAAGGAAAATACACGAGTATAATTTCTCGCCAAATGGAGATTATTGTCTTTATTATACTTCAAATGTTTTTGCAACGCGCGGGAAAGATGTTAACGAACAGCTTACTGTTTGCTGCGCGGCATGTTTACTTTTCAGTGTTCTTTGGTTCGACGTTAGAAACAAATAAACACGTCTCTTCTATAACAGTAGACACTCGCTCATCTTGATTTAAATTTCAATTCGGAAGACTTTAATTGTAATAGACACAAGATTTTAAAATTGGGGAATAGAACTTGAGGTGTATCCTCAGCTATTCCCCTGTTTTAGCAGTTGCGTATTGGGTCACGCGATGCGTTTGAATCAATCGCTTGCAAGAAAAAAATATTTGATAGATCATAAATTACAACATACCGGATCAGGTTATTATGGCAACGACGAATATATTGCAAAGTGGATCGTGGCAGATCTATTTTCAAGTATTTGGCATATTTTTACCTCTGTAAACTGCAATTTGGTCGGATTTGATCACACAAAGACGGCAGCCATTTTGGAATCCTTTACCAATGAAATCGAAGCCCACAATCATAGTTCAAAATTTTACAGGTAGTTAAAAACTAACGAGGTCATCCGACTCCAAACAAATCCAAAGGTATGGACTGATTTTGTCTATGGGGCTAGGGTATTTCTTCATAAAATTATGTGCCTTAATTGATGAATTTCTCATTTTTGATACTTGTTCCCATGGTATAGATCTGTCTTCTCAAAAATAGTTGTAATTGACAGACCTAGCACTCTATTGTTCAATCAGATCTATGCTTTTCCATAAAGTCGATACACAGCTGAAAGGAGCGCTTCAGTAAATAAAAAATAATAACTTGTTTCTTAAATAATTAAATTTTCCTTTGTTATACCTGATGGTCATCATCAGGTCCTCCGTCGCCGTCTTCGCCGTTGCCGCCTGTCATACCATTTCCTCCATCTGTGAGTATGTTGATGTATCCTTCTGCCGTATCCGCAAATATCTCCACTTATAAGAATAAATAAAATACTTCTGCACATTAAATGAAAAAGAAAGAACCACATACATGCTCTTAGAAACTTCAAAAGTCAATCGTGTTTGGCAATTTTAACAGAGTTTGAATCATTTTGTAGTTTCCTGACTGTGTCATTTAATCCTTGAGATCTACTTTAGATTTAATTATAGGACTTTAATTTCTTTTTAACAGTTCTTCTATTTCTATAATAATGTATTTATTTTTATTTTTTGATATTTATATTTGTATTAGTATTATCATATGTGTTGTTTGAGGAACACA